GTACACTATTTTAATTGTTACTTTAAAACTCCATGATGCTAATATAATTATGTAATTAAAATCTTGTCATTTACATTACCCTTCTGATTTTCTAGCACATCAGCATTTTTTTAAAAATTTCTGAGTACTAAATCTATATTGAAAAAAACAATAAGAAACTTTGATAGAACAACTCTATGTACCATAAAATATTCTTTTACAGGAGAAATTCCAATGCTTATTGCATTAAAATATTTAAACTTTAAAACTCAATGAAATTTATTGTAATATATACTATTAGGCATGAGACAATTGAAAGCATCAATCTTTCTATCTGTAAAGTAAAACATCCCAGGGCTGGGCATGGAGGCACACACCTGTAATCCCAGCAATTGGATTCTGAGGCAGGAGGATCACTGTGAGCCCAAGGCCAGCCTGAACTGTATAGTGAGACCCTGCCTTAAAAAAACAAATCCAAAGACCAGAAAAATACTCTAAGGCATAGTACTGTGGCAGTATAAAAATCTTTCTTGTAGCTTATTAAATTTGTGCATCATAGGGCCAGGGATTTGGCTCAGTGGCTACAGTGCCTGCCTCACAAGTACAAGGACCCAAGTTCGATCCCTGGTACCAAAAAAAAAAAAATTGTGCATTATATTTGTTGCCTTTATTTGAGCCATTCTGAAACACCAAGTACCTTTCAAATTTGAAAGCACTGCAGCATCTGGGCAGATGTGGCTTGGTGGTGGAGTAGTTGCCTAGAATCCATTAAGGCCCCAGATTCAATCCCCAGCACAGGAAAAAAAGATGCTAAATCACAAAAACATATTTAATTTGCCTGAAGCTTTCAATAATAGGATAAACAGAATGAGATTATTTATTAATCAATCCTGGTACTTTATTTAATAAGAATAACTTTCTATGATTAAAAACAGCAGAGGAGCTGCAAAGAGAAGTTCCTTTATTCATTGCCCTAAAGTTTTCACTGCAGGTTGCACTTTCTGTAGAGGGCCACAAAAATATTTCTCAGCCGTGTGACCTTGCCACTCCTATATCAAAAAGCAGTATGTTTATCTTTGTCCCTCATTTGACCCACCCAGGCCCTATGTCTATCTATACCTCTGGAACACAGCAGGCATGGCGCTAGGCAAACTGTGGGTGTGTCCCTTAACTGACCTGACAGTTCCTGCCTCCTGTCCCCTAGAAACCAGTTGATATGTAAGAAATGTCTCTATTCTGAGAACACCATGAGATAACATGTTCAAGCCACATGGAGAGACCTTGGAGGATGAGAGAAGAAAAGAGTCCAACGAGTAATGAGGGATACAACATGTGAATGAACAACCCATTCCTGTTGAGCTGTCGGGTAATCCCAGCCTCAGCCACTGACTGAACTGCCCAAGAAATCCAAATTAAGAATTGCTCAGCTGAGTTCAGTCCTCCAAAGGACTTTTAGAGAAATTAATAATTTGTTGTTTTACCCACTCACTTTTCAGGTAGTTTGGTGCACCATATCAAGAGATAACTGGAAGAACTGTTTTTCTCTTACAATAAAAATTTCTCAGAAGTCAGAAAAAGATGACCCACGGTGCTGCCTCTCTACTTTCTCCCTGTACTTTTCTTCTGTTAGGGAGGGTAAAAGTGACAGGAGGAGTATTTGTATAACACATATTATATTAATCTGTTATGGAATGTAAGAAAACAAAAAATTAGAGTTAGGAGTCTACATAGTATCTGCAATACTGATTTAGTAACAATTATACCTTATGTTTTCAAAATAACACCTACTACTGAGTACATGTGTGTACCAGACATTCTTTGGTGCACCTTGAACACACAAATACACTAACCTTATGTTGTTTTATTATATTTTCTACAGATAGAGAAATGCTAGAAGTGAAGTAAGCAATACAGTTCACATCATTACTTGCTGCAGATCCAAGATTTTTAAATGTCTCTTCACAATATCAGACTTCAAGGTCTGAGCTACCACACCTTACATACTGCCTTCTCTCCTCCACATACATACAACCTGTACTGGACCACACAGGTCCTTAAGACAGCCAGGCTCTGAGCCACAGCCCCAGCCCAATCTTTCCAAATGGCTTTTTCCTAAATAAGACACAAACAGGCCGGGGATTTAGCTCAGTGGTCCTGCTGCCTGCCTCACATGCACAAGGACTGAGTTTGATTCCTGGTGCCAAAAAACAAAACAAAAAAAGATAATAAGACACAAACATCATGTTTTTTTAAAAAAAGCAATATTATTATGTGACAATTTAAATATAATTTATCCTTGTGATTTTTTTTAGGTATCATTTGACTTCAGTTCTCCAGAACTGTTTTTAAAAAGCTATTACCTTTGGATAAAGAGGCTTGGCCCAGACATTTAACTACTGAGAAGTTATGAAGACTACTGTGGGTAGGGAAGAAAGGAAGGGGAAAAAGCATTGGCTTTTACATACATTCACTTGTTTCATTCTCTTTGCACATCCATGAAGAAAGCATTACACAGCATCTATTTCAGAGTAGTAAACTACATGCCAGAGAATTTAAAAGATTTTCCAGTCATTCACAAAGCAATCTGGTCCTAAGACTGTGCCCTTCCATTTGCGCTACCTCTGTGGCTAGAAGTGAGTCTATATCTTCCTGATATATGACTGTGTGTATCATGCTTTTATAGTTGTTTTTTTTTCTAACTGAACTCCTAATATTGCCCTTAATTCCATTCCTAGTCCAACCAAGTACCACTTCCCCTTAAGTGTCAGGGTATTAGGCTTAAGATGCTGGAGTATTTCTATGATGTCCTCAAGGAATTGTTGAATTACTTTGTGGAATGCTACAATGGTGCTGCTATAATGTTACATGACAAAATCAGAATTTGCAAGGATCCCAAGTTGATGGCAAACTATTCCAGGATTCACAATCTACATAAAATCAAAGCAATGGCAATATTAGTTGATTCCTGCACATTTTCTATTTAGAAGAGAAAACTAATCTGCTTTGGGCCAGCATATATATTGCCTTCTAAATTTTACTATTTATATTTCCCTGCTCTTGAGTTTTCATGTAAATTTAAGCCTCACAATAAAAAGAAATCTACAATGAAATTTAAAAATCTTTTCTGAAACATAATCAATTATTCTCCTAATATGTGCTACCATTTTTAGCAAGAAATAGTAAAAAATATCATTCACTTATTTTTACTAGTACATGTTGGCATCAGTACATAATGTTTACATTACTTGTGTAAAGGTGGTACATGTACATAACACATCTTAATTTCTTTGTTTAATCCCTTTTCCTCTTCCTCTCTTCCCCTCCCTCTAACTCTTGGTCCCCTTCCCATCTGAGAAAGCTCTATCTCCCTACTTCTTATCTACCTTTTATTTTGCTATTTATTTATAATTTGGGTAAAATATTAACTTGGGTTGGGGATATAGCTCAAGGATAGAGCACTTGCCCAAAGCACTCATGAGGCCCCGGGTTCAATACTCAACACCACAAAAAAAGAAAGAAAACAAAAATCCAACTCTGCTATTGTAAAATTAAATAAATAAACTTAAGAAACCAAACTTAAAATAAAAACACATAAGCCTTTCATAAATAGTGCTACTCTTATCTTTTTCAAATAGCACAGGGGTTGGGCTATAGCTCAATGACAGTGCTTGCCTCACATGTGAGAAGCCTGGGTTTGATACCCAGCACCACAAAATAATAGTGATAATGATAATCCAAGGCTATCATAAAAAAATTCAATTTGAGTGACCAATATCTTGAATAATTAAATTGATATTAAATCAGGTAATTACTTAAAAGAAATCTTCAGAAATTTTAAAAGATTTCTCTTAAATGTAAACATATCCTACTCATGAGTGAAAAAAATTGTAGAACTTTGGAAACAAAAGTTCCTAAGGAGATGAGGAGTTTCTATAGACTAAATTGTATCAAGCCCACAGCACTTCACAAGTGCCCAAATCCTATTTCTTAACACTAACCACGAGGGACAAAAGTGAATTTCTTTTACATAAACTCAATTTGCCAACCCATCACCGCTTTAACTTGTGCTAATGCAAATATAGTGTAAATCATTCTCACTATGCGGGGAGGGGAGTTCCAGGACATCTCCCTTCCTCCTTGCCACCCCCAATATACCAAAATCCTTGGATGCTCAAGTAAGTTCCTTTGTATAGCCTATGCACATACTGGCACACGCTGTAAATCATCTCTAGATTGCTTTCAATACTTCATATACTGCATAAATATTTGTCATACTATATTTAGGGAATTATAAGGAAAGAAGTCTGTATGTTCAAGTTTTGTTTTCACTCCAAGGCAACTAGTAAATCCTTGAATGCAGTAACTGCAGTTAGGGAGGGCCAGCTATAAAGATAGAAAAAAAATCTCAGAAACTCATTGAAACTACCCTATTAAACTTGGGCAAGTAATTCATTATTGCAAGCTCATCAATAACATTTGGAGAAATACCAACTGCTATTTCTGCATCATTTTATGGAAAAAGAAAGTGGAAATAGTATTTAAGAAATTCCAGCGTTACTATGCAAAGCCCACATGAGAACATTTACTCAAAGTGTAATCAGAAGTGAGCTGCTTTATTGCCTCAGAACCTGAAGATATAACTATACGTCATTTAAAATCTAATAATAAAACAGTATCAGCAATTTAATATCTACTTGCCCTCTGCCTGACTGCTGGAAGCCACTCAAAACAATGCCTTTTAAATGACATCCAGTAATTCTTGAAGAAAATTTTTAGATATTGACAAGCACTCCAGTTTATCAGCAGGAGACATTTGGTTTCTGGCTCTTGCTAGATAAGACCACAATTATGCAATTTCCTCCCAATTCAGTCATGAGTACTGAAAAAAGAATGAGTAAATGTCTGTCTAATTCTCTTCTTACTGTCTAATTCTCTGTATGTATAGACTCTGAAAGCTCCCCTCTATTCTTAAATACTTTACACCTCAATTAAATTCCCCCAAATTATTTCATTCAAATTACCTTCTCCTGATCTTTTTCAATGTTGTATTCAGGGCAGTCAATTGTAGATCTGAAGAGGAACTTTAATTTTGTCTTGTGATTTCTCAGGAACTGAAGTTAATAAAGTCCTCATCCTTCTTTTATACCCCCAGAGTAATAGAAACTACATGTTCCCACCTGCCTCTAAGTCCAGGGATCAACAATAAATTTCATTCAATGATTGAATGGTACTTGGTGTAATTACCATGACATCAATTTGATCTTATCTTGTTTCAACCCTTAGATCATTTTTGTTTTGAGCCATTTTCAGGGGGTGGTGATCACAAGGTCAGCTTATGAAGAGAACGTACATGGTCATTTCCTACGTAATTTTATCAAGACTTACACAAAACATCCTGAAAGTTGACACTTTCCTATAAACAAAGTTCTAAGAGTATCACGTTTAATTAGCTAAGTACCTGGTGTTTTCAAAAAACAGGAGAAGAGCTGTAAACTTTAGATAACAGATATGTAGCATTTCAAGGCCTTCTTTATTCTAATTGGAAACAGAAAAATAAAATATGCTTATTTGGACTTTATGAAAATTGATTGCATCTGGGTTTAGCAGAGGTGCATGAAAAAGGTATGAGACCATGTTGAGAGGACTGTGTGGTTCTCCATACATGCCTCTTTTTTCTCATTTCACTGTTGTGAGGTTCAGTTTCTGTCTGAACAGAAAATATGTGTGTGACTTGGCAGCCTTGGGACACTTAATTCCAAGATTACCCTAAGCTCGGTGTCTTCCTAAAACCTACACAGCTCTTCAGGCTCTGTCTGCAGCTGTTTTTGTCCACACAGAGATCATGACCTTTAAAGGTTCCTATCTCAATCTGCTCTGCTTAATACCACTTCCGTAGGAGATACAAATTACTAAAGACCTCCACAGGAAAGAGCTCAGAAGATGTGTGGGACACAGAGAGAAACTCATTGTTTAATATAAAGACATCACTCTAGGGATGCAGCTCAATGATAGATCACTCGTGGAAGGAGGAGGTACCTGCTTGATCAAAATAAATAAGTAAATAGGTAAATAAATGCAAAGTTATTCTGTTATTTATATTCTGTGATAAATTAATTTGTTTCTGTTCTTATATCTTTTTAGAATTTCCATTATGTGGTTTTAGTATAGACCTTACCCATTCATTTTTTTTCTGGTGATAATTAATGTTCCTATTTTTAGTAAATTTCTATCATTTAAATCTCAGAGGGCTGGCGATGTATTTTCAATGCAGTCTACTTATTTTGAGACTGAAGCCTACATAGCCTCAGGGTGAGGAAACCTTTTGAATCCTCTGGAAAGTCATCCTTTTTCTCCCTCTCATTCATGAATTTCACTGTCCTTTACTTTATTGTTTTGCCTTCTTATGCACCTTTTCAATCCATTTTTTTTTTTTGGTCAGGTTGGTTAAGTAGAAATAATACTTCTTCTATGCTCTTATTAAATTATTTTCATTTTACAGATGATTTAGTAGGGGATTTTACTTTTATTTCATATATCACATATAGTCATAAAAATTATGACTATAAATCTGGGAGTGTAGCTCAGTGTTAGTACACTTGCCTAGCACACATGAGGCTCTGAATTCTACCCCCAGCAATACATACACACACACACACACACACACACACACAAACACACCCACCCTGATTAGATGATTCATATTGATATAGGGCATATGATATAGGGATGATATATGGACCTTCAAATAATAGAAGGGAAATATTATAATTTCCAACTACTGCTAGATATCTGATATGCTGAGTTCATGCTCTCTAAGATGGAAGAATGAATTATATGAACAACAGAGGTTAAGAGTAGGAAGTATTTATTGAGCAAAGGATAGCTTCTATCTAAGAAACAGAAGAGGGCCGAGAAAGTGGGTTGCCCATGGACTCTGCTTCTCAAGGGAGTTTTACAGTGCAAAGCCACAAGATGAGGCAGGTTCAAGGAGGGACAAAAGCTATAGTCAACTAATAAGATTACAAGTCTAATCTCTTGGGCAATATTGATCCAGTGGAAAAATGACAAGATAGAAATAAGATGAGACAAAACTATGGTCAACCAGTAAGATTACAAGTATAGTTGCCTAGGTAATATTGATTAAATGGGGATCAAATAGGGAAGCAAGTCATGTATCAAGCATACATGGACCGAAAAAAGACTTTTCCTAGTAGAAATGGGCCAGGGAGATTTTGGTCCTCTACTCAAGGTGATGGATGCATATTTAGACTATCGATCACCGCTGTTCATCATTAGTGGAAGAGTGTGGGTATAACCATTTCTCCTTGTCTTCAAGCAACTTATATGTAGATAATAATATGAAAGTTTTGTAGTGCTTTAAAGGTTCATGTGGTGTTTTATATAGCTTTAAATCACGTGGCAAAATAAATTCATAATACTAAAGCATTATCAAAATTGTCCCTTCCATATTTGATCTCTCTCCCCCAGTTCCCTAGTCCCCCACTCAGGAGTAACATTTCCAGTTTCTTACATGTTTTTCAAGATATCATATGTATATACTATATAAGGAATGTATACATAAGTCTCTCGTTGTCCAATTTCTCCTTAAAATGGAAAAAACGCAAAAATTAGAAGAAGCTCTGCATTTTACTCATACTTTAGAAAAGTCTCTAAATATAGTATAAATTATACTTCTCTATATTTTCTACAATGAATATATATATAATTTTTATAATTGGGAAAAGCACTCGAACCAAAAATTTGTTTTTAATTCATCGCTTTATATGGTTGCTTTTATGCATAGTTCTATAGAACTATAGATACTATACTACTATACTATACTATCTATAGATAGTTCTATCCCATACCTAGTAGCAAGATTGGTAGGCCAAAGATATAAACACAACTCCTCACTCATTTGCAGTTATCTCACAAGGCTAAAATGTAAATGGCTCCTTACCATGACAGTAAAAATGGCTGAAGACCAATTTTTTCAAATAATTTTTTCTTCAGTAATTTCAATGCTACATGGCACGATTTTGAACTTCCAGGCAACGGGAGAACACACAATAAAAAATAAGTTTTCCTCTTATTCCAAAGTCTTCAGTCACATTCTCAAAAATAGACATTCTAACAATTTCTTAATGTTTCCAAAAATTTTCAATGTACAGATAAAGTCTTGAAAGCACATATTCTACAGAGAACATGTCATAATCTTCTTGGCACAGTTACCAATGGACAACCTATGCTAAAAGCATGAATCTTTCCCAATGAAGTTTTGTCATTACACACTGAATTTTTTAAAAAACACCTTTGTATATGCTATATATGCTTAATGCTCTAATAAGTTCTGTTACACATATATGATTATCACTAACATTACACTGTAATCACAGTAGTTGACCTATATAAAATTGCTTGTTTTTCAAGTAACTTTTTCTTTAGTAATTTCAATGATACATGGCGTAATTTTAAATTTTCAGGCAATAGAACACAAGATGGAAAATGTCTTCCCCCTATTCCAAAGTCTTCAGTCACACTCTCAGAGGTACCCATTTCTAACAATTTCTTAATGTTTCCAAAAATTTTCAATGTATAGACACACATGTGTTATGGGGCTTTGCTGTATACGTATGAAAAAATAAGATATATGTTGTTTAGCATCTTGGTTTTTCCTTCTTTTATAAACCTAGCAATATCTTGGTGGGTTTTTGTTCCATATTCAAATGTACAGATTTAACCCTTACTTTTTAGTGATACAAAATTATTTTGGACTACTAATTATTCAATTATTTGAACCACTAATTATTTAATTATTCAGTGGGATGGGGGAGTGGCTCAGAGTAAAGTGCTGGCCTAACATGTATGATGCCATTAGTTTTATGCTCAGAAGCACAAGGAAGGAAGGAAGGAAGGAGGAAAGGAGGAGGGAGGAGGGAAAGAGAAAGGAAAGAAAGAGAGAAAGCAAGAAAGAGAGAGAGGGATGGATGGAGGAAGGGAGGGGGCGAGTGAGGGAGCAGGAGGGAGAATGGATGAAAGGCAGAAAAGAAAGAAGGAGGGGGAAAAGGAAACAAACATTATCCAGCCAGTCCTCCATTAATGAGTATTTGCTGATAGAGATATAGCTCAGTGTTACAATATTTGTATAATTTCCAGTTTTTTATTATTATGAATAATACAATAATTAGCATCTTACCTTAGTTACATCTGTAATCATAGTGCTAGAATAAGTTAGTTTTGTGTGTGTGTGTGTGTGTGTGTGTGTGTGTGTGTGTGGTCCTGGGGAATGAACCCAGGATACTGCACATACTGAGCAAGTGCTGTACCACTGAGTCACACTTCCAGCCTTTTTCGGGGGTGGGGCAAGGTCTCCGCAAGTCCTACACTGTCCAGGCCAACCTTGAACTTGTGGCCTCTCTGCCTTAGCCTCCCTAGGATCTGCTACAAACACAGGAATGCCCCACCTTTTTCATTTCCTGGTGATGGAGAGGGAACCCAGGTCCTCATGCAAGCACAAGTTCTACCACTGAGCTGCACCCTTGCCCCAGAGGTAAGTTTCTAGAAAAGGAACTGCTGGACCAAAGAATCTGAATGTAGTTTATTTTCATCTTCAGCTACCCCTGTGGCATAAATAAATTGAAAATGGTAAAGTCATTTGTTCTTTTCCACCCCTCCTTAAAACTGACACCATAAAATACATTAAATTTTGTGAAACTAATAGATGTAAAGTATTTTATTTTAATTTCCATTTAATTAATTTGATCAGGGATGAACATAGTTTCACAAATGGGTTTTTTTCTTTGAATTATTCTTTCAAAAGTTCTGAAGTTTTTTACTTTGCTTTTAAACTTGACATCTGATTCTTTTTACTGTAACTTTACATAGTTTTATGTACTCAAGCTTATCTTTTTCTGTTATACTTACAGGTTTTATGTACTACAAAAATATTAAAAGGAAACCTTCAGGGTCAGGGGATTTAGCTCAGCGGTTTGGTGGCCTACCTTGCAAGTGCAAGGACCGCAGTTCAATCCCCGGTACCAAAAAAAAAAAAAAGAAACCCTCAGGCCAGGGATTTAGCTCAGTGGTTCCACTGCCTGTC